AATTGCTCAGTTTCCTGGAGTCGTATACGCTATGGTGGATCAGTGTATGGCCGGACTGAAGAGTGCTCGAGGTATACCACAACAGAAGAGGACGGAGCTATGGGCATCCCACGAGGCACTACTACGACACGTGGTTGGATTTCAATGCGACGGGAGTCACGTGCATGATACTATTGAAGGACGAGAAGCCACGTCGAGGGCCAGATGATGGCCCTGGAGATTCGCGGTGGCTATCGCCAATGGCGTCACAGACTACCTGTCGGAGAAAAGAAACGCAGAAATCAAGACGTACTTGCAGGACACTACGGCGTATCCCGGGGCAGCGGCGGCAGCACCATTCGAGGAACACGGACCCTGGGTTCCGCCCTGGGATCCGCCAACCCCTCCAGATGCATTGCCGGAAGGAGCTGGCAGAAGGAGACTATCCAGAAAGACAGAGGACGCCGGAGTACCAGCACCTGTTCCTGAAGATACCCCAGCACCAGCACCGGGACCACGGGCGGCAGCGATTCGGCCCCCAGATCCGAGGACGCAGCTACGACGAGTGCGAGAATGGGAATGCCGAGCTTGCAACGGAGCACATGTTCCACACTCTCGGATACCTGGAAAATGTCGGATTGCTACACCGGGAGTACGAACATGGAGATGTAAGCAGTGTCAGCGAGGCAAACCCGAAGATGCACCTGGACATACCCTCGTGGCAGGACAGTGTAGATGGGCAACCGAAGTGGGCCAAAGACCAGCTGGAGGGGGACGCCGACGAGCACGAGCAGCTGCCCACGACCCAGCACCAGGAGCAGCCGAACCAAGACCGGACGGACCTGTGGACGCTGCAGATGTCCCAGACTCACCAGCACGACCCGAAGCAGATCAAGGTATGGAGGTGGACTGGTCTAGCTGGGATCTTGGATCCGCCCGGCGAGCGTTGTTCGGCAACAACGAGGCAGTGGCACGAAGAGTGCTACGTCGACTGCACCTGAGGTGGTTCCACGCCAACAAAAAGGCCATGAAGCGCATGCTCTCGGCCGGAGGCGTGCCGCCCAAGGTCTTGCAGATGGTCGACGACATTGTGGACACCTGCCGAGTCTGCCGACTGTGGATGAAGAAGGGAACCAGGGCGACCACGACGATTAAGCTGAGTGTACAGTTCAACGACGAGGTGCAGTTGGACCTCCTATTTTACGAACGACGCGTTGTTGGACATCTCATCGACGGTTGTATTAGGTTCACCGTGGCGCGAGAACTTCCAGATAAGACGATCGAGACGCTCTTGGACTTCATATGGGTGAACTGGATTTAGGTTTTCGGGCCTATGGCAGTACTGACCGTCGACGGCGAAGGAGCTATGGCATCAGAAGAAGCGGGGGTGGCTCTCGGACGCATGGGGACCACGCGCAAGCTGAACGCTCCAGGACAACACGCGCAAGTAGTTGAACGACATCATGATATACTGCGCAGGCAGATGCATGTCATAGACGCACATCTCCGAGAGCTTGGCATCAAGTTGCCCTTCGCTCGAAGATTGGCCGAAGCAGTTCTCGCTAAGAACTCGTTCCTGACGATCGGAGAAGGCACGCCATACAAAGCACTTTACGGACGTGTGCCTCTTGTGCTCAGGGATTTTGACAGGAGTGGAGCTCAAGAGTTGGATGATGAAGATGGACTAGCTATGTTCAGGCACTCGCAGAGGCTCCGAGAGATCGCGACCATGTCCATCATCGAGGCCACGGCACAGGCGAGGACGGAACGAGCTGCCAAGGCACGAGCTGCCCCGGCGACGGAGGATCTGCATTTGGAGATCGGAGACCTCGTGGATTTCCACAAGCCGGGGAAAGCGCCAAAGGATGTGCCGAGCTGGAAGGGACCAGCCAAAGTTGTCTCGGCACAAGCACCAGAGACGGGGACGATCACCATACACTGGCAAGGACGCGACATGATAGTCAACACTCCTGATGTTAGACGTGCGATACTGTATAGCTACTCAGTATCCTTCTTTGCGGTTGACAGCGACCCAGCGCTGACTCTATTGGACTTCGTACATAATATCAGAGAAGACTTCGAGCATCTCGGCTGGGCGAGCACGTCATCAGGATGGGCTCTGACGAAGATATCCAAGAGCTATCCTATCGTGGTGGCGGCCATGCTCCAAGTCGCTTCTTGCGGACTTTATATCAACGGAGCAGTGGCCGCCCGAGTTGGCAGGAAGGTACCAACACTTCCTGGACTTCACGATTTCGAGCACTACGCTTTGTGTTGGTGGACTGCAAAGCGTCTGGATAAAGGAGGGTCCGGAGTGGAGGCCATGTGCTATGGTGAAGGATCTGCAGCAGAACATCTCAGCCTTCGATATATCTTCGGCGAAAAGGAATGGGCTTCGTGCTATTTCATGCAGTTCCTGACTGTGGAGCCTGATGTTTTGGACGTCTTGCAAGGACAGGCACCACAAATACCACACATGGGCGGACCTCACCTACCAAGAGTTAACGCATGGATGCGCGAACATCGGGAGATACGGAAAAGGGCCCGTTCGGAAGGATCGCAAGGCTCGGAAAATCCAGCAGAGCATCTAGCAAGAAGGCTGGAAGATGAACCGCCAGATAGACCAGAGCCACCTCCCGGGCTGCCAACACCAGCTGAACCTACACAAGCAGCAGATGATGGCGCCAGCACACCAGCCAGCGGGAGTACGGTTCCAGCAGAGGCAGCATCGTCATCGGAAGAGTTGTACAGCCTGGAGGCTTTCTGGGCAATGCCGAAGGAGGACTCGGACTTGACGAGGGACGTGGATGAGACCGATTTCATGGACATGATCGGCTACCTCACGGAAGAGCCAGACATGTCCGTTCTCGAGCGGAACGAGATCATCCAGGACTACGATGTGATGGAGGCCTGGAACACGCAGAACACCACACACGCGAAGGCGACGGACGACATAATGGAGTCACTGCAACCGGAGAAGGTCTTCCAGATAGGATTCGCAGCAGGAGCCTGGAAGATGCTAAACGAGCCGACCATCAATGGAGACCCTACGCATGTGGACGATGTGGCTGTGTTGAGCTTCTACGAGGATGGATCCGCCAAGGCCGTGACAGAGAGAGATGACAACCTGCTGACGCCTGCCGAGAAGATCGAACACCGAGAAGCAGTTCGAGCGGCACGACTTAAGGAGTTACGTCACTGGGCAGGATTCAAGGCCATGTCGAGGCGACCTCGTAGGCAAGCCAGGAACCTCATCGACGCGAAGCGGGTCGATCAATGGAAATGGGTACAAGCAGCAGACGGAACTATGACCAGGATCATACGATGCAGGCTTATGGTACGTGGATTTAAAGACAGACACAAGGATGAGGTGAAGACGTTCACCGCGACCAGTACGAGATGGGGACAGAGAATGGTGAATATTTTTGCAGCGCAGCATCGTTGGAAGCTATGCAGCGCGGACATCTCATCGGCCTTCCTACAGGGAATGACCTTCGAGGAGGTCGCGAAGCTGCTCAACGAACCGATTAGAGACATGTGTTTCGAGTTGCCGAAGGGCACAGCTGAGCTATTATGCGAAGTGGAAGGTTTCGAGGGTTTCAACTCGATTTTGGAGGTCTTGCATATGGAGAAGGGAGGATTTGGTCTCAACGATGCCCCGAGTTTATTTGGACTTCGACGTGATCAAGTTTTGTTGTCGAGCGGGCTTAGACCAACACATGCGGACCCCCAGCTCTGGCTGAAGCACATCCAGGAGGTTTTGGTAATGGTTGTTTCCACCCATCCAGATGATCTGAAATACGCGGGAACCGATAAGGCGACTGGCGAGATGATTTCATCCCTGGAGGCAGTTTTCGGCAAGATGACTATGAGTGAGAGTGATTTTGTACACTGTGGCCTGCGCCACAGACAGCTTGAGGATATGAACATCGAGGTGGACCAGACCGAGTATATCAAGAATTTGAATTGTATCGATGAGAAGGAACTGCAGGGCAGAGGAGACGACGAAGATCCACCGGAGAAGCACGTGAAGCTCTACCCGTCTCTGCTTGGAGCTATCGCGTGGTGCATCATGACGAGGATTGACATATGTATCTATGTTGCAGCACTCCAACGACACGGTAAGGCACCCAAGGTTGGACACATCAGGAAGATGAATGTGCTACTCAAGTATATGAAGGAGAATCCTCTGGTTTTGACTGCACAGAGGCTGACTCCCCCCGTGAAGCTAATGGCTGTTGGAGATGCGGCCTTCTGGAGAGAACCCGACGATAAGGGTTTGGCTATGCGTGGAGCTGTTTATTTGTTGATCGAGACGAAGCAGGAGATTGGAGGTAGATGCAACGTTTTATAATATTATTCCCCGGAAACAAGCTCACGTTGTACGATCCACTTGGGGAGCAGAATTATGTCACTTATCATATTGCTGTGATTACTTATTGCTGCTGGCCGGTTTCTTGACGGAAGTTCAGACTGGAGAATTGACGGCCAGACAGCTGCGAGACATGGTCAACGGAAGCGAAGCTAGTATCAAGCCAGCAATTGATCTGGAAGCTTGTGTTGATGCCCAGAGTGTGTTTAGTGGCATCACGGCGGAGCAGGTACGGATTCCGGCGGAGAGACATACTCTGTACCATGCTCAATGGATCCGAGAACTTCTGGATCGAGGTATACTCGAGAGATTGTGGTGGATCGACACGAGGGATTGCTGTGCGGATGGACTAACGAAAGGAGCTGTTCTACGAGACGCACTCAGGTGCGTCGCACGAGGCGAGTGGAAGACGGTACACGAGGCACTACCGTGGACCTCTTCAGGACGAGTGCTCCAGAGTGTCGGCTCGAGTTGAGCACGGTCGTGATGACCGCGGTGTTCATGGTTTTTTGGCATACAGGTGGAGGTTTGGATCGGCATCAGGACGCTAAATCGTCACGCGGGTCTGGGCCTCGCAACGGATGCATCGCCGGGCCCTCCTCAGTCACAGTGACGCTCAGGAGGTCCGGCGAGGATACTGCTGAGGCAGTCAGTCCGCGGGGTTCCGCCCATTGCTGGGCGAGCTCGAAATTATGTGCATGACGGACCGGTCCGTGGAGACAGATTGGTACGTGGACTGGGCCGACCTTGTGGGGTTCACGGACGTGTACTCGTGGAAGGTCAGTTGCGAGCTGGAGATCAACGACCTGAACACGTTCACCACCAGAGTCGAGAACATGGCCCTGGACCCCCTCCCCGACAGCGACGGCACAGCGGCGTGACCGCCGCTGCTGTGGCTCAAGGCCACACGCAGGACGCGTGCGCGGGGTGCACGCGTGGGCCCGAGGGCCCTGGAGCAATTGCGAGGTGCACCGAGGGCACTTCGAGCGGGGAAAGGACGCCCCGCGACTGAGGATGAGGAGGAGGAGGAGGAGGAGGAGGAGGAAGAGAGGAGGAGGAGGAGGAGGAGGAGAGGAGGAGGAGAGGAGGAGGAGGAGGAGAGAGAGGAGAGAGGAGAGGAGGAAGGAGGAGAGGGGAGAGGAGGAGGAGAAGGAGGAGGAGGAGGAGGAGGAGGAGGAGAAGGAGAAGGAGAAGGAGAAGAAGGAGGAGGAGGAGGAGGAGGAGGAGGAGGAGGTCGAGGAGGAGGAGGAGGAGGTCAAGGAGGAGGAGGAGGTCGATGAGGAGGAGGGAGGGAGGAGGTCGATGAGGAGGAGGGAGGAGGAGGAGGGGAGGGGAACGCGCTCGGACGTGGAAGAGTTCTGCGCAGAGCCGGCTGGACGCACTGCTGCGGGCATCGGCCCCCTCTCTCTCCCGAGGCTCCCCCGAGGCGGCCCGACGCTCCCATGGGGCTGTCCTAAGCAAGCCCTCCAGGGCTTCCACGACTGCCCAGGAGGGCCAGCAAGGCTGCTGAGATGGCTTGATATTGCTGCAAGTTGGACCCACCAGCCTCAAAACGCACCCCATGAGTGCTACCAGGCTTCCACGAGACTCCAAGACCCCCCCTCCCGAGACGCTCTCCAGGAGGACCTCGAGAAGCCGAACACTTTCATTGTTGACGTGTTTTTTTCCCCGACCCTCCTGTGTTGAGTGCTCGTCTTGAATCGAGCACTGCTGCTCCTTCCTCCTCCTTCCGCTTGCTCCCCTCCTCCTGCCTTCCTCCTGTATCCTACCTCGCCTCCTGCTGCCTTCTGCCTCTTACCTGTCTCGTACCTTGCCTCCTGCCTCTCGCCTGCCTCCTGCCTGCTCTACCTCGCCCTCCCTGAACCCACCAACCGCACAACCGTCGCCGCTCTCGCAAGCTCCCGGCAGGCCCGACGAAATGTGGTCTTACAAATATCCAAACTCAACCTCGCCCTCCCTGGGCCCACGAGGCTCCCAAGACGGCCCCGGAACGGCCCAGCAGGGCCCCCAAGACGCCCCAAGTGCCGCCCAAGACGGACCAAGAGGCCCCAAGACGGGCCCAAGAGGGGCTCAAGAGGGGAAACGAGAACTGAAAAATCGAGCCCTCCGCCCCAGAAGGCGCCCAGGAGGCCCCAAAAAGGCCCCAAGAGGCCCCCAAGAGGCCCCCAAGACGCCCCAAGAGGCGCCCAAGAGGCGCCCAAGAGGCCCCAAGAGGCCCCAAAACGGCCCCCAAGAGGCCCCCAAACTCGGCTAGCCCACAACGGTGCGACAATATGGGCCGGCGGAATGAGCGAAGCGATTAATATCCAAACTCAACCTCGCCCTCCCTGGGTCGTGCACATTTGCGCATTTCCCGTCACGTTGGCGAACTTGTGGGGGGTCCAGCGCGCTTTCTGTGGGTGTCAGCTGCGCTAGATGGTCGCCACTTTCGTGAGCTTGTGGCGGGTACAGCGGAGTGCGGTCTCACGGGCGTCCAAATTGCACCTCGCCCTCCCTAGGTGCTGCCACCTGCGCAACTGTCGCCGCTTTCGTGAGCTACTGGGGGGTCCAACGGAGTAGGGCCGTACGCAGACCTACACGGCACCTCGCTCTGCCCAGGTGCCGCCAACTGCACAACGGTCGCCACTTTCGTGAGTTCCTGGGAGGTTCAGCGGAGTGTGGTCTTGCGCGGATCCAGATGGGACGTTTCCATTTCTGGAAGCTGCCAAGTGCGTAACCGTTGCCACTTCGTGAGCTCCTGGGAGGCCCAGCAGAGTGACGTCTTGCCTAGATCAAGAGAAGTACCCTCGCCTTCCTGGGTATTGCCAACTGCACACCTGTGACCACTTTCGTAAGCTCCTGGGAGGCCCAGCAGACCCAGCAAAGTGACGTCTTTCCCAAATCAAAGTAATTCACCTCGCCTTCCTGGGTACTGCCAACTGCGCACCGGTGGCCACTTTCGTGAGCTCCTGGGAGGTCCAGCGGAGTGGTGCCCCAGGCCGAGCCAACAGAATTCGTTGCCAGAGGTCTCGGTTGGGCGGAGTGCGTCCCTGTGATTTTCTGTTACTCTGTCCACGCTCTTCGGTCGAAGATTGTGTCCACTTGCGGTCTTCGAAAGATCCACGTGCGGTCTTCTTCATTCGGCGCGCTAAACGTATGGATAAAATGTCGTCCGACTGTGTCTCGGGCCGGAGCGATCCGTGAGGGCCCAAGGGCTCGAGCCTGGGGCGACAACGCCCCTTGCGATGTCTGCCGCAGCGCTGGACTCCGGCGGGAGGCGAGAAATCGCGGCGTCGTGGCGGCCGCCTTCTTCTCCTTCTCCTCCTGGGCCTTCGCCTCCTTCTCCTGGGCTGACGACGACCAGGACGATCACGACAGCGCCAGCGCCGCGGTCGACGACGTGCACGCACGCGAGCAGGGGGCGGTGTGGAGCGGGGCGCTGCGGGCGAGGCGCGCTCTGTGCTCTCTGGCGCAGCCGTGCGGCCTAGGGGCAGGACGAACAACAGGAGCGGGGAGCATGCGGATCACGCGGGAGGACACGCAGGCAGCAGGGCAAGCAACAGGACAGCAGCAGGACGGAGAAGCGGGCGGGAACATGCGGAGGGGGAGGAGGAAGAGGAGGAGGAGGAGGATGACGAGGAGGAGGAGAATGAGGTGTAAGATTAGTCAGGTCGAAGGAGTCAGAAGGCCCTGCCTATTCTCACCCTCCTCCCCACAACATAACAATCAATTGTGGCACAACTGGACATTGGGCTCGGAATGCGATCCCAAATCGCAAACGGAAGGCGCTCGCGCGCGGCCCCACTTCCGACGTGAGGAAGGGGAAGCTACGCGGGCCGCGCAGGGGCGGGATCGGCAGAGCTTCCAACGGACGCGGCGACGACGCAACGTGCGCCGCGCTGACACAGCACTGCTACTCTCCCTGGCAGGCTGCGAAGGCACTTGGGCGAGAACGGCATTTCGCCCGCTCCTGCGCGGTCCCGCTGCCGTTGTCTCTTGCACGCGATTCGGCGAGCGAGCCATGCGCCGCGCCCGCGCGGGACCCCACTTCCGAGCGAGATGTGCACAGACCTTGGGCGAGGGCGGCAAGTCGCACGCCCTGCGCGGGTCTCCCAACATCTTCGAGTGACAATTTTGCGCCGCGTCGAAGCGGAAACGCCACTCTCAGGCGACATCTGCGCGGCGCCGAAGCGAGAACCACATCTTCGCCCGCTCGCGCGTCGACGTATAAGTGGCATGCGAAAAACATGTGCGCCAGGCACCAGCAGGAACTCAACTCTCCAGAAAAAACGAGCGCGACGCCGAGGCGAAAAGGACAGTTCGGCCTCTCGCACGGGATGTGCGCTCCGTACCACGGATGCGGAAGGAGGAGGGGAGGAGGAGGAGGAGGAGGAGGAGGAGGAGGAGGAGGAGGAGGAGGAGGAGGAGGAGGAGGAGGAGGAGAAGGGAGCAGGGAGGAGGGAGGAGGAGGAGGAGGAGGAGGAGGAGGAGGAGGAGGAAGAGGAGGAGGAGGAGGAGGAGGAGGAGGAGGAGGAGGAGGAGGAGGACCGCGACCCGAGGGGAGCTGCCGCCGCCCCTGACACGGTGCAGTCGGGCTGTCACCACAGGGAGCGCTCCACGAGGAGCGCAGCAGCCCCTGTTTCGATCTCAAGGCGCACGAGGTGCACGAGGGGCGCCCGACGAAGGAGCCTGGAAGGACGCAAGCAGCGAGCCCCTGCCGCGCCCGCGCTGCTCCTCCAGAGCCTCTCATAGCCCTGCGGAGCGCCCAACGACGCACATCGACACCCCGACGGCTCCACGAACGCCTGGAGGCCTCGGCCCTCGATCGACGGCGACGACGACACTCGCGTTGCTCTTGCAGCCCGCTGTAGGCTCCCTGGCTCCTCCCGGCACCCTGGCTGACGTTGGCGCGCGCAAGCCGAGGAAGAGGAGGATGAGGATGAGGGTGAGGAGGAGGAGGATGATGAGGAGGATGAGGAAGAGGACGATGAGGAGGAGGAGGAGGAGGAGGAGAATGATGATGATGATGATGAGGAGGAGGAGGAGGAGGAGAAGGAGGAGGAGGAGGAGAAGGACGAGGAGGAGGAGAAGGACGAGGAGGTGGAGGAGAAGGACGAGGAGGAAGAGGAAGACTGACCGAACTTTCAGGTCTGCGAGTCTACGCGCGGGCGGACAGGCATAAAACAATCCTTCGGGGTTGAAAAACCTGGGCCGGCACGGAAACGGAAAGAGCGTTGCAGCAACCTGCCCGAGAGGACACATGGCACCCTTCGCTCTTGGGAGCCTTGGTGGTAAGAGCTGGTTGCGTCACCGCTCGTTCTTGGGAGCCTTGGAGTTTCGAGGCTTTTACGTTGCTGCTCGCTCTTGGGAATCTTGGTGTTGAGAGTTGTGTACGTCACCATTCGCTCTTGGCAGCCTTGATGTGCACGAATGTGTCACGTCACCGTTCGGTCTGGGGAGCCTTGGTGGGAAGAGCTTGCTACGTCCCCACTCTCTGTTGGGAGCCCTGGTGTTCAGAGATGCTTACGTTGACGCTCGCTCTTGGGAGCCTTGGTGTGTCGAGCTTTTTACGTCACCTTCGCGCTTGGGAGCCTGGGTGTGAAGAGCTTCTTATGTCTCTTCCTCCTCCTCCTCCTCCGCCTCCTGACTCCTCCTCCTCCTCCTCCTCCTCCTCCTCCTCCTCCCTCCTGCCTCCTCCCTCCTCCCTCCTCCCTCCTCCCTCCTCTCTCCTCCCTCCTCTCTCCTCCCTCCTCTTCCTCCCATCCTCCTCCTCCCTCCTCCCTCCCCTCCTCCTCCCTCCTCCCTCCTCCTCTCCTCTTCCGCCTCCTCCACCTCCTCCTCCTCCTCTTCGTCCTCCTCCTCATCTCCTCCTCATCTCCCTCCTCTCCTCCTCCTCCTCCTACTTTTCCCTCCTCCTCTCCTCCTCCTCCTCCTCCTCTTCCCCCTCCTTTTCTCCATCCTTCCTCCTCCCTTTGGCCTCGTCCTCGTTCCTCCTCCTCCTCCTTTTCCATCTCCTCCTCCTCCTCCTACTCCTCCTCTGCTCCTCCTCCTCCTCCTCCTCCTCCTCCGCCCTCCTCCGCCCTCCTCCTTTCCTCCGTCTCCTCCTCCTCCCTCCTTCCTCCTCCTCCTCCTAGTCAATCTCTTTCTTCTCCTCCTTTTCCTCCTCCTCTTTTCTCCTTCTCCTTTTCTTCCTCTCCTCCCCTCCTCTCCTCCTTTCCTCCTCCTCCTCCTCCTCCTTGTCTTCCTCCCTGCTCCCTGCTTCCTACTCCCTTCTCCTCCTCCTCCTCCTCCTCCTTCTCCTCCTCCTTCTCCTCCGGGCCCGCTTGGGAGCCGATTGGGGTCCTCTTGAGTTCTTTTAGGGCCTTGGGGGCCCTCTTGGCTCTTGGGCCGTCTGGGGGCCTTCTGGGGCCGTTTGGGGCCCTTTGGGGCGCCTCTGGGGCCGTCTAGCGGCCATCTGAGGCTCTCTTGGGGTCGTCTTGGGGCCCTCTTGGGCTGTCTTGGGGCCCTTGGGCCGCTTCACCAGAAAAAAAGGAAGAAACAGGCCATGGGAGCCGCCCAGGAGCCTCTTCACTAAAACAAAAAACGAAGGAAACGGTCCATTACCACCGCTCCCCCCGCGTCTCCAACCTCGCCTGCAACCCCCAAGGAGGGCTTCGCTCCTGCTCAACGTCACTCGCTCGTACCTCGCTCTTTCAGTCGTCTGTCTACAAGGGCGCACCCTTTGCGCGGGGGAAGCCCGAGCTCGCAGCCTGTAGGGGGGGATGATAGCGTGGGCAGGCCCCGCCTAGCAGCCCCCCCATTCTCCCAAACTCAGGAGTGGTGTCCCAGAGCGGGTCATAGCACCTTCTGGGGTCCGGGAAAAGTGGGGGACTATCCTGAGCGATCCCACCCAAGGCCATCCGAGCGCGGGACGTCAACGGCTCGCGATGGTCTGGCCGCAACGGCCGTGTATCCAAGGGGGAAGCCGTGCACCTGCCTGCGCTGATAAAGTGGCAATTGCGAACAAAACTCGAGCAATGGGACTGGGGGGACTCGTGCCTAGTCGGTTGAATCGTTCAAGCCGAAGCAACGGGCCGCAGGCCAAATGGGCATGCTTGACAGAGTCCCTTAACGGGCAATCTTGGCATAGATTTCCGCGTCCGGGGATAACGCAGCGCCTTTGGGGAGCGGGGGGCACTTTATCATGGACGTGCAAGGACGGCCAACGCCAAGTATAACGCGGTGTCTGTCCGACGGGCTGCTTTATACACGTACCTCCATACATCTTGTACACGTCGGAGGCGAGGCCCTTACGAACTTTCAGAGGGCCTTCCACGGGGTGTTCATCAAAACAGGTAGTGGGTATGAACCGGGACTGTTTGGGAACAATCCTACCTCAAGCAGCCTTCGCAAGCGACGCAATTACGAATGTTGTAAACAACACGCCTTCCAGGGGTGTTTTTGAGGCAGCTGGGCGGCAGGAGTTGGAGCCATTTTGCAACAACCCCCTCATGCACGAAGACAATTGTTGCTACAATCTCCCCTCATGCTCTAATGGTGCTGTCAACGAAAGCACATTCGGTCCACAACCACCATAGCCGGCTGGCGATTGTGACCTCCACAGCCGTGCTATTCCGCCCCACAAGAATCCAATTGCACCTCCGACCGTCCAGAGCCCGCTGGCTGCAGAAAATCGACGCTAGCGACAGAACTTGCATTTTCTTTCGGGGGGCGGGGAAGTTGCAAGTGCGACGACGTGTCATGCGAACGGACTCCACCTATGCGAAGCAGACCGTCCGGCGAAGAAAGGCAGAGGGCAGGAGGGGGATGGGATATTTATTAAACGATAAAGGAACAGAGGGTGAGCGGGATAGAGACAAAGACTGCGTTGTTCGCGCCCGTCGCGGAGTGCCGAGTGCTGGAGCGTGAGGCTAGCGAAAACGGAGCGAATGAAGCAACCGAATGCCTGGGGAAACTTGCGGCGCCGAGTGCCGCAAACGGTGGCGTGCACGCGACGGGTGCCTGGGCCCGTGGTCGAGAGGCACGCGCACCCGCCTGGCAGTACCCTGGACACCATCGTGCGGGCAAGCAGCGGCCAGAGCATCGGTCTGAGACGCCTGGCAGCGCCAAGACGACAGCATTTGAAACATCTGCCCGTTTGCGTCGTTTCGCCTTCGTCAGCCCTGTTGCCGCCAGCCCCCAGCCGCCGCCGCCGCTGGCTCCCTGGCGCCGGCCCCGCCACGTCCCTGGGCTGCTCTGAGCGGGCCCAGCTCTTCTTAGTCCCTCTCCGGGGCCGGCGCCTTGTCGTTCTCTTCCCTCCCTCTGCATGGTGGTTGTATTCGCCTAACGCGCCCCGTTTTGCTTTACTCGCCAGCGCAGCCGCTCTGCCTAGCCGCCGACGCAAAGTGTAGTTTCGCCTTCCGGCGTCGCAGGAGTTCTAGCCTGGCAAGAAAGCGCCGCCGCTGGAAGCAATTCGGAGAGCACTTTGGCCGACCCTCTCCTGTTGTCGGGCTGCATGCCGTCGCGGCAGCGGTTCCAGTCGGAACTTGTGTGAGGGGATGGAAACACTCATGTTTATTCCTCCGACAACAAGTTGGCGTGAGGACCTTCAGAAAAGGTAGCCACACCCATGGCTTGCATACCAAGATAACCCTCCAAGGAACTCTGGGAGACGAAGGGGATGACGTTGGGGATATTGAAAACGTCTGTGATCAAACACAAAACAACGGCCCCCTTGCTGGGGACCCATCAATCGATAGGTGTCATTTTCCGGGATCGCCGCATGCACTTGCGGCAAAGCCTAGAGTTTCTGATGAAAGTCCACTCGTGGTCGACTTCGCCCGCAGGCGGTCAGGGAGGAGGGAGGATCAGGAAGAAGAGGAGGAGGATAAGGCGGAGGGAGGAGGCGGCAAGAGGAGGACCAGAGTAAACCGCCTATGCATGAGCGATGCTGCAGCAAACCCTCCCGTTCCAAGCCCCCCCGTCATGTCCCTACAAGCTTTCCTTCACAGCCAGAAGTGCTCTCTTGAACGACCAACACCCTGTGGGTGTGCCGTTCAGGCGAGAGCACCGTGGTGAAACGCAACCGACCTGCAGCCGCTCGGAGCGTAGAAACAGGAGTGCGAGCAAGCATGCCCATACGCAAGCCAACGGGGTGTCCAACGAGATCCCAACTTTGAAACAAGACTGCGCCCCATCCGTGCAGCTGCTGCGCAGGGCTGCACTTTCTGGCCATGGCCTCCGAGGCAGCACCGATCGATGCTCCGATCTCGACACGGAGCAGGCCCTCCGCCCGCGCAGGTGCCGCATTTTGCTGGCGCTTCTGGCCCCCCGGTTGCGGCAAGTCTCGAGCGAGGGCCCCACATACTCGCTCCTCCTCCTCCTCCTCCTACTCCTCCTGCTCCTGCTCCTGCTCCTCCTCCTCCTCCTCCTCCTCCTTCCCCTCCTCCTCCTCCTCCTCTTCCTCCTCCCCGTCCTCCTCTTCCCCCTCCTCCTCCTCCTCCTCCTCCTCCTCCTCCTCCTCCTCCTTCCTCTTCCTCCTCCCCCTTCTCCTCCTCCTCCTCCTCCTCCTCCTCCTCCTCCTCCTCCTCCTCCTCCTGCTCCTCATCTTGTCGGAGCTGTCCTCCAGTCTTGTGTCGGTTGCGAGCGTTGGCGCCGAGCGTGCGCGGCGATCCGGCGAGAGCCCCCTTCTGAAACAGGGCCGCCCTCCATCCGGGTGGCTCCCGGACAGGCTCTCAGGAGAGGGTGCGCGGCGCTGGGCGCGCGAACTCCGCTTGGAACGTGGCCCCACACCATCCGTGGAGCTGTTGCGCCTTTCAGGCAACAGGGTCATTTGTGGTGGGGGCAGTCTCGAGCGAAACGCCCGGCCAGCCCTGCCAATACACCTGGGGTTGCGGCAAGGAGGAACTATCTGGCATGCAAAGGGACGGAGGAGGAGGAGGTGGCGGAGGAGGCGTGGGAGGCGGGGAAGAGGAGCAGGAGGAGGCTGCTGCTACTGAACCTCGGAATAAGTGTCACCCTGATCTCGTGACAGGAGAGAGGAAGGAGGCAGCAGGGGGGAAGGGGAGAGGAGGGGGGATGATGCTGCTGATGATGATGATGATGCTGATGATGAGGAGGAGGATGGTGATGAGGAGGGAATGGAGGAAGAGTAGGATGATGATGAAGAAGAGGAGGAGGAGGAGGAGGAGGAGGAGGAGGAGGACGCGGAGGTGGCGGAGGCGGAGGGGGAGGAGGACAAGCAAGGTGCGCTTGCGTCATTTCTGACGTCCTACCCCTCCCTCCCATCCCTTGCCATGGCGTCGATCTCCTCTCTGTTCGTACAATCGGGTGTCGTAGCACGGCATAGCATCACGTGGCATTGCATGGTGTTGAAGATCAGCCCCTAAGATGACATAGCATGGCGTGGCGACGCTCCGAAGCGGCGGCCCCAAAAATCAACGAATCGACACCGAATGTATAGTCACTTCTGATGGTTTCTTCGGGAGACCATCTTCTAGATTTTGGGGCCTATAGGACCGACAACCATGCCGTGGCATGGCGCTGGAAATAATGACGCCAGCGCTGCAGCGGGAGCACGATTCGGAACGAGCGGAAGCGCGGAAAGAAGGCCAGCGCTGCAGCGGGAACACGATTCGGAACGAGCGGTGTCCCGAAAATGAAGCCAGCGCCGCAACGAGAACAACATTTTGAAACAACCCATGTCCCGGGAATCCTGTGTGAAAAACCAGTACGCCGAGGGGGTCCGGCCACTTCCCGGACGTCACCAAGGGAGAGAGGAGAGTAGTACTCATATGGTGTACACGTCGGTCGGAAGAAGTAGGTAGAAACATGAAGTAGGAAGGCGGATGTAGTGGATTGGGTCCAGGTCCTCCCAGAGAATAACAGAACACAGCAAAAGCATGCCGATTCTTGAAGTAGGAAGGCGCTTGAAGCAGTTTGGGATCTGGGAATCCCAAACTACCTACTCTCAACGACCGGCGTGTAATTTGTGGAGGAGGAAGAGGAGGAGGCAGGAAGGGGGGCGGAGGAGCAGGTGGGAGTGGCGGAGGAGGAGGACGAGGAGGGGGCGGCGGTCGTCGCCTGCGCCTCGCGCTCCGCCTCCGCCTTGCGGGCCTCCACCGCCCGCGTGGCCTCCGCGACCCTCCTGGCCTCCTCCGCCGCCTTGGCCTGCGCGGCCAGGGGTAGGGTCGTTCAATCAGGGGGAAAAGAACTATGCACATACACCGATTCTGGCCAGGCCCATCCTGAGCCCAGGATCGGTGCATACGCCCTCCTACCCTGGCCAGGAAGGCATGTGCACCGATCCTGGGCCAAGCATGGGCCCTGCCAGGATCGGTGCATGTGCACAGTTCTCTTCGTCCGATCAAGATCGAATCGGGAAGTCGGGTCGAGTCGAACTCTGCAGCGGATCGGGCCGCATCGGCACGGAGCCGGACGCGGATCGGATCGGCTGCGCCCAGATGCAGAGTTGCGCCGCGCAGGCATCGGTTCGCATCGGATCGTCTGAACGTCGGAATCGGATCGGATCGGGCCCGCCAGAATCGATATCGAGTCGGACCGATCGGGTAGAGACGGATCCACTGGGGGGGGGTCAAAACGCCCGCACTGTGCGGCGCCAGTGCCGCCAGGGAGGCAGCATCTTCGGGGAATCCGCTAGAGAAACAAAAACGTTTTGTTTGCTTGTTTGTTTGTTTTTCTGTGTGCTTGATTTCTTTGATTTTTCAAAAGTTGCCAAAGCGCCGAACCAGGAGATCATCGCGGAGCTCTGAAAGCTTATGCTCCTGCAACTTTGTCTTCTTCGATTTATTCCAATTGCTCGTTCCCTCACTCTCTTCCCCTCCCTCCCTCTCTCTGTTCATACGTATATTTCGCGCGATCACGCTTCCTGATTTCTCGTCTGCTCTCGTTTGGAGAACCTTTTCGACAAGGCACGCCACGACAATATCGCACGGCGTGGCATGGCATGCGCTTTACAAACCGCCAGCTAACAACATGGTCTGGTGTGCGCCCCATGGAACCACTAGTTCAGAAAGCATGGGGCCTTGGCTGTGCGCTGCGGATCTCTTGATGCGCTCGGTTGCACGGAAAGCCCAACATACTGTCGGTTTCCTCCTTTTTTGTTTCTGGCCAGACAGCTGAACGAGGGGGCTACCGCGGATGAGCGACGAGCCCACGATGGTGCATGGCAACTGCCCGAGGGCAGGGCGAAAGAAAGGTCGACGGCGCAGGATCGCGCCGGCACTGCCGACAAGGCAGCTGTTTGTCGTGCGACGCAACGGCCGTGGAGCACGACGCGGCGCGGCAGGCGGTCGAGGGCGTCTGTAGCAGACCGGGCGGGCTTGCCCGAAGCAGGGCACCAACGCTCAGGGCCCGAGCTTCGCAATGCCTCTCGCTTCGTTGTGCTTCCGTTTTCCCTCGCTCTGTCGTCGTTCCGCCTTTGCCGCAGCACGGGATCAAAACGAACACGGCCAACGAAATCGCCGAGGCACCGTCTGCCAGCGCCATGCACGGGGGAGGCCGGCATGGCAACGGCCAGCGACCTCTCAGAGACCAGGCCGGCCGCCCAGGGAGCGAAGACCGCGTCCGATCGGCGGGCGCACGTGGAACTGCAGTGGCCGACGCTGCGGCAGCACGGCGTGACGGCGCGGCGGCTGGCGGTGGTGGCTGCTGCCATCGCCATGTGCGTCGACGAGGCCGCCGTGGAGCGGAGAGGCAGTGCGGCGAGACCCCGGGCGCGATTTGCCGCCCGCGTGCTGCCCTCGGTGCAGTGGCGCCGGGAGGCGAGCCCTCCGCGCTCCCACGCACCCCCTTGAGCGTTCTCGGGGCGCCCGCCTGGGCGGGGCGAGCAGGCAGCAGCGCGTCGGCATGCCAGCTGGTGAGCTGGGCGCGCTATCTGCTCGGTGGTTTGAAGTCCCCTGCCTGCGAGGCTCATTGCCCGTGTGGCGCATTACTGGAACCGAGGGCCTTGCTCATCAGGGTGGCTCCGCTGTGCTGTCGCGGAGTTCGTGGAAGGCGGTATGATTCTTGCCAGACGGCGAGGCGAAGCTGATGGCCTGGGGTGTTGCGTGGCGCGGGCGTTGGGTTGTCGTCGTGCGTGCGCGGGGGGACCCTTCGTCTACAGTGCGCCAAAAGGTCCTCAATTTGGATCTTGCTTGGATGTTTCCATGACGGCGGCCATTGGTCACGGCACTTTGATGTCCAGCGAGTTCTGTCGCCAAGTTTATGCATGGGAGCTTTTTGCGGAGTCTTACGGTGGAAGCAGTGTGTCAAACGATATCCACGAAGCATATCATAATACTCCCTTGCCTCCTCATAATTCTCCCCTTCCTCACCTATAGTAACACATACTGGTTTCTTATCCTGCTCCCCCACACTTCCTTTCAATAATGGTTATGATGGACATCATGATGATAATACGGATAGGAGCCCGAAAGCAGCCGATAACGGAGACAACACAAAAGCGCGGGGATGACAGACAACATTGGACAAGACGGAATGACACTACACAGGAGCCGAATAGCATTGACACTCAGATATGAATCGAGGGCGGGCGAGAGAAAGAGGCGGAATTGACGAGACGACGTGCGGTGCAGAGCGGGGCCCGGCGATCCACCGAGAAATCATGAAGCGTGGGTGCGAGAGAGCGCGAGAAAGAGGGATAGAGAAAGAGAGAGAGAGAGAGAGAGCGAGAGATGGTCGTCGTGGTGGACCTCGCCGTGGTGGTGGTGGTCGTCGTCGTCGTCGTCCTCGTCGTCGTCGGAGGGGGGCCCTGCGGAGCGGGGCCGGGGCGGGGCGGCGCACCTCCTCGCGAAGCCTTCTGGCCTCCTCCTTCTCCTCGCGCTCGCGCCGCTCCTTCTCCTGGCGGGCCTCCTGGTGCGAGTGTGGCTTGTCTCGTTGACTCGTTTCCTTGTGTTTTTCCGTCTCTCTCTCTCTCTCTTTGTCGTTTCCGTTTTCTTTTTTTTTGCTTGTCTCTTTGTTTCTCTCTGTCTCTCTCTCTCTCTCGCATTCTGTCTCTCTTTCTCTCTCTCTCTCGCTCTCGCTCTCTCTCTCTCTCTCTCTCTATCGTTTTTTTTTTTTTTTTTTTTTTTTTTTTTTTTTTTTTTTTTTTTTTTTTTTTTTTTTTTTTGTTTTTTTTTCTCTTTTTGTTTTTCTCTCTCTCTCTCTATATATATACACACCTCTCTCTGTATCATACAGACGTAAGCCTATCCACCGCTGTGCCCCCCCCCCCCGAGGCACGAAGTGGAGCGCCCTCAGGCCCCTTCGTGTCCTCTGTCGTGGGTACTGTAGTGCTCGTCTGGGGGGCACGCCGCCCCGAGTCCCAAGCGCCCGTGGGGCGCCTTGCGGGGCTCCCTGCGCCGACTCTTCTGGAAGCCAACCGGCCCGAAGACAGGCCAAGAGGACCCCGAAGGACCCCGAGACGGTCCAAGAGCTCTCCAAGATGCTCATTATGGCATCAATGCTGCCCAATCTACCCCCAAGGCTTTCAAATCAGGCCCCAAGCGGCCCCTCAAGAGAGCACCGACAAGGGCGGTTACTTGAATTTCCTTAGGTTTTCTGCAGGGTTTTGAACTTCAGCTCTTTTCGGGCGGCTTCCGACACTGCACGACGGGCCCGTATGTCTTCAATCTCGCCCCAAGAGGGCCTCAAGACGGCCCAAGCCCTAACTTGCCCCCAAACCCTACCAGAGGGCCCAAGGAAGCCCCTTAGGCGGTCCATGAGTGGCCCGAGACGGCCAAGAGCTCTCCCAAACCGTCTCAAGACGCCCAAGATGGCCTCAAGACGGCCCAAGAAGTCCCCAAAACGCCCCAAGAGAGCTTCAAGAGACCACCCGAGAGGGCCCCAAGAGATCCGCCGACCCCTGCTTGCCGGGGGTGCACAGGCGTGCTGCATGATTGGCTGTCCCACTCCCCCTTTCCCCCTCCCTGGGGTCTGAAATCCGATTAGAGGGGGGTGCGCGGGGGGGGGGGGCCCCCGGGTTTCCCAACGCACACCTGCGGCTTCTAGAGCCTTCCAATCGACACATCGCGGCCTCCAAGATGCCCATGGTGCCATCTAAGCTGGCTCAAGCTGTGCTCCGACACGCCGAGGAGGTATCGCAATGCCCAGGAGGCCTCCAAGATGACCGCCGAAGAGGACACAAATTCGCCGGCCCAACGGGCCAGGGCGTGCTAAGATCTCCGGTACCTGGTTAACAGTATTTCTAATTCGCGCGCGCGGGGCGGCCCCTGGGGGTCCCCGGGCGAAAAGTACCCCGGCAAGGTCCCGGCAAGTCCCCAGCAAGTCCCCGGCAAGGTCGGGTCAGAGATGCCGGAGTTCTGTTTCGGAGTCCAAGAGGGCTCCAGATCGGTCCAAGAGGGCCCCGAGAAGCTTTCTAGACGGTCCAAGAGAGGCCCGAGACGGCCAAAGATCGCCCGAAGACGCCCCAGATGGCCCCAAGACAGCCCAAGAGGCCTCCAAGACGCTCCAAGGGCCTTCCAAGAGGCCTCCGAAGAGGGCCCCAAGTTGCCAAAATCGTTGATTTTCATTGTTTTTTCTATGTTTTTTTGCGTTCTGGCCTTTTCGCTTCCGGACGCTCCAAGAGGGCCCAAGAGGCCTTCAAGACTGCTCCAAGACGGCCCACGAGGCTCCCAAGACGGCCCCGGAGCGGCCCAAGAGCGCCCCCCAGACGGCCCAAGTGCTGCCCAAGGCGGACCAAGAGGCCCCAAGACGGGCCCAAGAGGGGCTCAAGAAGGGAACCGAGAACTGAAAAATCTAGCCCTCCGCCCCAGAAGGCGCCCAGGACCCCGAAAGAGGCCCCAAGAGACTCTCCAAGACACCCCCAAGACGCCCCAATAAGATCCCGTGAGACCCCAAGAGGACCAACAACGTCAGGCCCCAGGCCCCAAGAGGACCAACAAATACCGCCAAGAGCCCGCCGAAAGCCCCCCAAGAGACCGTCACGAGAGCTCAGGAGGCCCCCTGGAGGCCTCCCGAGTTCTCCAAGAGGCCTAAAAAGAGGCGCCAAGGGGCCCCAAACGGCCCCACCGAGGCTCCAAGAGGCCACGAACGCGCAAGCAAACGCCTGCGATGGCACAATACGGGCCGGCGGAATGAGCGAAGCGATTAAATAACCAACAATCGTCCCAGTCCCCAGGGAAAACGTGTACTCATGTTCACACTGTTTTGCTTAATCACGTCCCAGACGGCTGAAGAGGCCCCCAAGATCGCTCCAACAGGGCCCTCTGCCCCAAGAGGGCCCTCGAGACCGCCAGCAGGCGTCCAAGAAACTGCCAACAGGCCCGAAGATGCCCCCAAGAGGCCCCAAAGAGGCCTTCAGAGGGTCCCCAAGCGGTCCCCAAACACCTCACACGTGGACCTCTTCCCGCTTCTAGGAGTCGGCAGAATGGCGAAAGCCTCTTGAAAAACAATTGCTATTTTCAATGGTCTTTTTAATGATTTTAGCGTTGTCACCCTTGCGGGCTTCCGACGTTGCAAGACGGCTCAAGAGGACCTTAAGAGGACCGGAAGATGCCCCCAAGTGGGCCTACGACGGCCCAAACGAGCCACAAGACGGCTCAACAGGCCCCCAAGACGGCCCACGAGGGCCCCAAGAGGGGAAACACGAATTTACATGTCGAGCCCCCCAAGAGGCCCAGCTGAGGCCGCAAGAAGCCCCCGAGAGGCCCCAAGACGCTCCCAAAACTGCCTCCAGGAGGCTGCCGAAAGGCCTCCGAAGAGATCTCAACAGGCATCTCAGCATCCCAGAAGACTCTGACATACAACGCGAACTCAATGGCGGGACGGGCCGAACACGCACACACTTTTTGCGTCGGCGGCTGGGCAGGGGGCGACTGCTCCGGCGGGCAAGCAACAGGGGACACGTTGTATGCAAATTAAAGCAGCGATGCACGAGAGAGGAGGAGCGCTGGCGCAACAGGGGAAGAGGAGGCCGGCCCAGTCACGCACACACACACGCACACACGCACAGACCCCCCCCCCCCCACACACACACACACACTCCACACACACACCCCTCCTCACACACAACACACACACACACCACACGTCACCCAGCACCCAGCACCCACCACACACAACACACCACGCAACACACACCACACAACACACAACACACAACACGCAACACTCACACATCACACATCCACTCGAGCACACAACCACATAATAACACAAACACACGAGCACACAAACACACAACCACACATACAACACGAGCAACCACACAAACACACAACCACACAACGATGCCCACACGCACACACGCACACACGCAAACGCACACACACAACCACACACAGACAACAACACACACACAACCACACACAACCACTCACACACCAACACCCATAACCGCAAACGACACACACAACCACACATGCACTCATACATACGCACACACATGCACACAAACACGCACCCCGCACACACAGACACCATATCCCCCCACGCGCGCAAACACACACACACACGCACATACACACGCACACGCACACACACACACACACACACACGCATACACAATTTTGGCGTCGCGGCCCCGCGCGCAGCGTCAGGGCGTAGAAACACACACAACACACACCAAACAACGCACACACACAACCATACAAACACACAAACACAAGCACACACACAAGCATACACACAAGCACACACACACAAGCGCACACACAAGCTCACACAAACACACACACACACACCACCACACACAACCATACACAGATAACCACGCCCACAACCACACTCACAAGCACACGCACACACGCACACACACACGTACACACGCACACACCGCAAACCCCTTCCCACATCCAAGCGCACACAAGCATACACACTCACACGCACACACACACACACGCACACACACACACTCACCCAAGCACACACACACACACGCACCCACCCACACCCACCCACCCACACACACACACACATACGTACACACCCATACACACGCACACACACACACACACGCACATGCACACACACACACACAAAAAACACGCGCAAACACACATTTGAAGACGATGCCAATTTTTCAAGAGGCAGCTTGCCGAGACACATCACCACATGGCGCAAAAGCGCCGGACTTCAAACCACTAAGGCTGAACAAACAACTCTGCTGGGCTCGGGCTTGGCGTTGAAGGGCGGTCAGAGATGGCTTGAGAAACCGTGGCCGCGGTATATACATTCGCATGCACGCATTTCCATGAAGACGATGCCAGTTTTTCAAGATGCAGCTTGCCGAGACACATCACCACATGGCGCGAAAAGGCCGGACTTCAAACCAATCTCACGGCCCAAAAGCCACAGGTGATCTGGCACAGCATATATTAGAAAGCTGTGCCGCTGCCAATCGTTGAACTGAATTATCCAAACATCGTGCAATAAACTCAGCTATGGGAGGAGGATAGGGCTCAGCTAGCTTGGACACCCAAGCTCCGTGCAGTTTTCCACTGATGACAAGATGCGGCTTTCCGGAGAATTTGCAGATGCCACGACGACCAGAGCAGACAAACTTTGAGGCGTCAGGACTGCCAGCGTTGAGAAAAAGCAAACGAGTGCGCTTGCGGACAGGCAAGCCGCAGGAGCAAAAGTCGACATTGGGATGCGGCCACTTAGCCAGCAGCCGCTGGCGCACAGGAAAAAGCCACAACAAAGATGTGGCTGGGTTCTCCTCCCCGCATGGCACTCCCAAGCCCTCGGCGGCCTTCAGCAGCAGCCCGGCTCGGTCGATGAGGGTGTTGGCTTCACGCACTTGTTCTTTGAGGCGCTCGTCAAGTCCCGGCAGCCCACGAAGATGCTCGTCAGATCGGAGAGGAGGCGGCGTACCTGCAGCACCGTTCTGACGAGCTCGCGTCGTGGTAACG